GTTTAGTTAATGAACACAGGTCTTTGCATCTAAAAGTAAACTGCTTTTCAGTGGCAAAGAGCGTCCAGAATTTTCATTCACTTACCTCAAAATTAATGTCACTTATAGTTTACTGTTGCCTACTGGCTCTGTGTCCCACAGTAACTCATTTGACTTCTCTTAGCCTTAATTTCCTCATCTATAGGTAGGGGACAGATGAGGCTTTCTACTCTTTAAAAAGCTACAATCTCAGAAACTTATAGGAGAAGTTCTACTCTGTCCTATAGGGTTGCTATGAGTCAGAATCAACTCAGTGGCAGCAAGTTTTGTTTGTTTGAGAGAGGTCATTATAACTAAAAAATCAACAAAATGAAAAGACAGATTCGGAGAAATTTTAAAATTTTAATTTAATTTAATTTAATTTTTTTGAAAAATTTTTTATTTTAAAGATCATTGTATCAGGTGCTCTTATAACAATCCATACATCCTTTACAAATCTGGTTAGACCAGAGGATGTACACTGGTGCAGATAGGAACTGGAAACACGGAATCCAGGGTGGATGATCCCTTTAGGACCAGTGGTGTGAGTGGCGATACTGGGAGGGCGGAGGGAGGGTAGGGTGGAAAGGGGGAACTGATTACAAGGATCTACATATAACCTCCTTCCTGGGGGACAGACAATAGAAAAGTGGGTGAAGGGAGACATCGGACAGGGCAAGATAGGACAAAATAATAATTTATAAATTATCAAGGGTTCATGAAGGAGAAGGAGGCGGGGAGGGAGGGGAAAAATGAGCTGCTGATGGCAGGGGCTTAAGTGGAGAGCAAATGTTTTGAGAATGATGAGGGCAATGAATGTACAAATGTGCTTTACACAGTTGATGTTTGTATGGATTGTGGTAAGAGTTGTATGAGCCCCTAATAAAATGATTTAAAACAAAAAACAAAAAAAACCGATCCATACATCAGTTGTATCAAGCATATTGGTACATATGTTGCCTACATTATTTTCTAAATTTTAAAAAATTTTTATTATATTTTTTCTAAATTTTACTTTCTATGTGAGCCCTTGGTTTCAGCTCTTCTTTTTAACCTTCCTCCGCCCCTCCTACCCATGTGACTGCTTGATAAATTATAAATTATTTTCAAATTATACACCAAATTGGGAGAAAATTTGGGGGTTTTAGGAACCATACGATAAGTTTAATAAACAGAATACGAGGGGTACCAAGAAAACCCCTGGAATTGTGCTGAGCAAAGCAGAGCTTTCGTAGTATGTATGTTTCCCACTAGGTGAGCATCAAGAAATTTGTTGTGAGTTAGTGCACCCAGTGACGTCACCTGGGGCATTCTCTCTGGTCACAGTGAATTTTTTCATAAAAGCAGTTTTGCCCACACCTCATTTTTGTGATGGCCAATTATTTATTTTAAATCATTTTATTGGGGGCTCATATGACTTATAACAATCCATCCATCCATCCATTGTGTCAAGCACATTTGTACATTTGTGGTCCTCATCATTCTCAAAACATTTGCTTTCTACTTGAGCCCTTGGCATCAGCTCCTCATTTTCCCCAGCCCTCCCCGACCCCCCTCACAAACCCTTGATAATTTATAAGTTATTATTATTTTGACATATCTTACACTGTCGACATCTCCCTTCACCCACTTTTCTGTTGTCCGTCCCCCAGGGAGGAGGCTATATGTAGATCCTTGTAATTGGTTCCCCCTTTCTACCCCATCTTCCCTCCACCCACCTGGTATCGCCACTCATACCACTGGTCCTGAAGGGATCATCTGTCCTCGATTCCCTGTGTTTCCATTTCCTAGAATTAGGATCATGATAGTGGTGGGGAGGAAGCATTAAAGAACTAGAGGAAAGTTGTATGTTTCATCATTGCTACACTGCACCCTGACTGGTTCGTCCCCTCCCCATGACCCTTCTGTAAGGGGATGTCCAGTTGCCTACAGATGGACTTTGGGTCCCCAATCTGCACTGCCCCTCATTCACAATGATATTATTTTTTTTGTTCTATGGTGCCTGATACCTGATCCCTTCGGCACCTCGTGATTACACAGGCTGGTGTGCTTCTTTCATGTGGCCTTTGTTGCTTCTGAGCTAGATGGCCACTTGTTTACCTTCAAGCCTTTAAGACCCCAGGTGCTCTAGTCTATCTTTTTGATAGCTGGACACCATCAGCTTTCTTCACCACAATTGCTTATGCACCCATTTGTCTTCAGCAATCATGTTGGAAAGGTGAGCAGAATGACAGTTTAATAGAACAAAGTGTTCTTGCATTGAGTGAGTACTTGAGTGGGGGCCCAGTGTCCGTGATGGTCGATTTAAAAGGACAATGTGCAACTGTGAAATTTTGTTTACTGGTCAGGAAAAATGTTGCATAAACTGTTGTGATGTTCAACACAGCTTAAAAAGACAGTGCTATTGGATAAACTCAAGTGTACGAATGGTTTTCTTGTTTCAAAAAAGGTGAAATGTTGATTGACAACAGACCTCATTCTAGATGCCCACCAACTTCTCGAACAGATGAAAATGTTGACTTGTGCATTGGAGTTAATTCCACCAGGTCAGACTGTTAACCTACTTTTTAATTTAGAGGTTCTGAAAAGATTGTGTAACAGTGTGTGACCAAAAAAGCTTTATTCGTGGCAGATGGGACTGGTTTTGCCACCATGACATTGCACCTGTTCACGTAGCCATCTCAGTGTGCCAGTTTTTGGTGAAAAAAAGTATGCCTCTCTTGCCCCACGCACCTGACACACCTAATCTACCTCCTTGTGACGTCTTTTTGTTTCTGTGAATGAAGAGGGACAGCGATTTGACAACATAGAAGAGGTAAAGAAAAAAATGGAAGATGCTGTCAGCCATCTAAACAGATGAGTCTGAAAATGTTTCCAAGAATGGAATCACAGATTTGACATTAAGTGTAATTAAGAGTACTTTGAAGGTGATAAGGTTGTTTTGTAAAAAAAAAAAATTCAAATACACAGCTTTGGGAAAAAAATTCCAATTTTTTTGGGAGGGACACCCCCTCATACATTAATACTTCTACAGCTTAGCAGCAAAAAGACAAACAACCAGTCTGACATTGGACAAGAACTTGAATAGCTATTTCACCAAAGAGGATGAGGTGCCTGAAAAAAATGCGAGAAGTCAAATAAAATTGAAACCTCAAATAGAACCTCTGCTATTCAGTCAACCTTAAAGGACAAGGTAGAATTGCCCCTTAGGATTTCAAAGGCAGTAAGTCTTTGTGGAAGCTGATTGTGACACCCCATTCCTAATGGAGCTCCTGGTGGTTTCCACTAACCACCTACTGGCTTCCACTGTCAACTTTAACCACTGTGTCACCAGGGCTCGCTCATTAGTCATTAAACCCAAACCCCAACCATTGCCATTAGGGTTTGAACTGCTGGTATGTACAAATGTGCTTGATACAATTGATACATGAATTGTTGTAAGAGCCCCCAATAAAATGATTAGATAAATAAATAACAACAAACCCCAAATGTCCAGCTTCACCCAAATTACTGTAGCACTCCATCATCTCTGATCCCAACTAATCTCCCTTCCTAGAGTATTCATCCTTGTATCTTTGGCTTCAATACTTTTGCTATAACACCTCACAGGACTCATAAGCAATCCTAACAGGTATGTGGCTTATTGGAAAGTAAACAATTAACTTCAAAGTAACATGAACAACAGGTTATACTTCCTAATTAAGGACATCTGCCAGCAAGACAGGTCTCAGCTTCTTCTCCCTGTGCCTGAAGGTGGGCATGTGCTTTTTGGATGTGCCTGCCTGTAAGTTGGTTCTCACTCAGGCCTCTGCCATCAGCCTCCTCCTGGACCTGTCTTGAAATCGCAGTTGAGCAGGTGTTACAGCTCTTTTGGCTTCATCATCAAGTGTACCCAGAAGCACCCACTCAGCAGCCAGCCTCCTGATTGCAGGCACTCAGTTCTTGCTCTGTGAGTTAGGAAGCCCACTGCAGCTGTCTCACATTGGTCTGATTTTTGCCACTTGTATCAGCTCTCGTTACCTTTTATAGCGCTTAACATCTAGGTCTAGGATATTCTCAGTGCAGGGGCCCCAGACTTAAAGGATGTCCTCTGTTCCAGGTTTTTCTTGATGGTTTTACAGTGAGGGTCCCTCACGCTCAGCCCCTTTGTAAGTCTAGTCATTCCATCAAGGCCCCACGTGGATCAGTGTCCTTGGTTGGCATAAGCGTTTTATTTGCATAGTAAACTGTTCAGTCCCTTTTCAAGATTGGCCTAGAAAGCATCTTGGCAAAACCATAAACCCAGGGCCAGAAAGGCCACATAAAAGAATAAATTAAGTTGCGAATTGAAAACGTCATCTATTTGCTAATTTGAATGTAAAATGGTGTAGCCATTGAGAAGACAGTTCCTCAAAATTTAAATTGTAGAACTACCATATGATGACTCTCAACCCTAGATATAAACCAAAAGTATTGAAAGCAGAAATATGTGTATGCCATATTTACTGCAGCACTTTCCATGGTAGCTAAAATGTAGAAACAACCTAAATGACCATCCATAGATGAATGATTGTGATTATACACAAACAATGGGATATTACTCAGCCCATAAAGAGAAATGAAGTCCTGATACATGCCACAACATGGGAAGACTTAGAAACATTGTTGGGTGCTGTGGAGTTGGTTCTAACTCATAGCAACCCTACACAACAGAATAAAATGCCATCAGGTCCTGCGCTATCCTCACAATTGTTCTTGTGTTAGAGCCCATTGTTGCAGCCATTGTGTCAGTCCATCTAGCAATGCAACACGTTTTGCTGTTTCGTGAGCATTGATTGTGGAGCCAAGCAAGATGAAATCCTTGACCACTGCAATCTTTTCTCCATTGATCATGATATTACCTATTGGTCCACTTATGAGGATTTTTCTTTACTTTGAGTGGTAATCCGTACTGGAGGCTCCAGTCTTTGATCTTCATCAGCAAGTGCTTCAAGTCCTCCTCACTTTCAGCAGAGAAATACGTCAGTAACAAAAGGACAAATGTGAGTCTATGTACACTTATGAAATAAAGCATATGTGTAGAGACCAAAGTTAATTAGTGGTTACCACGAGTAGAAAAGAGGAGGGTATTAGAAACTGATTGTACAATTTTTCTTGACGTGATTGAATTATGGAATGATATGTAAGTATTAAATCCCAATTAATTTTTTTTTTTTAAATAGGAGGGTAAGGGGTGACAGCCTTTGCTTACTGGCCCTGAGTTTCTGTTACTGATGATGAAATAATTTGGAAACATGATGATGGCTGCATAATGCGATGAACATAACCAATGTCACAGAATTGTACTCGTACATGTTAAAAATGTTGAATTGGCAAATGTTTTGTTATGTATGATGGTAGGTAAAAAAGCATTGCTCTAAAATTATAGAAACTTTATTAAATAAAAATAGCAAAATTGAAGTTATTGCTTCTAAACATATCCAACATCTAGGTCTATGTCCTTCTGAAGGCGGTTCCATCTCTGTAACCCTCCCTTGAGGAATTCTGCCCCCTTTTTATATTTGCACCACTTCCAAACAGCCATTTTGACATCCCAAAGGACTCAAAACATCCTTTTAAGTGTTCTTTGAGTTTTGGGAACAGAAGGAAATGTGATGGACAAGATTAGGTTCTGAAGGGGCAAGATCTAGTTTCCCAATGAAAATGTCATAGGACAGCCCTGGCTACCCTCAAAGACTAAGCAGCCAAATTGTGATGGGGAGAAATTCCTTAACGTACCTTTCCTGCTCTTTCTTTCACCAATAGAGTTTTCTTACAACTTGTTCATAATAAGAAACAAAACTTCTTTATAGTTGCTCCTTTGAAATCACAAAACAGTTGCCATACCACCATCTGAGCTGACTTTCCTGCCTTTCAGCAGGAAGCCACTGTTTTGATTGGGTGTTTTTTTTAAGGTACCCTAATGAGGACAAGACAAATGCATTACTGAGAGAATTTGTTTGTACCATGCACTGGTTGAAAACACATGTTCCAAATGGTTTCTGTTTGGAATAACCCACGTATATGTGAATTAGAGTCCTAGCAGCAATACTTTTTTACTTGTGTGTGTGTGTGTTTCCTCTTGTAGATTTTTGACACACACATACACAATTGAGAATAGCATATATTTTTTTAATCTTACAGGCTGCCTGTAATATTCAAATCAACTAATCATATGTGTGATAAGATTATTAGAATGTATATTACGATGGCTTCGATGCACTAATATACACTAATGTTTAGACATATGGCGGCAGGAGGAGGAGATTCATGAACTTTGTGGCTGTTTTATTGCAGACGTATAGTTCTCACATCTCAAGTACCACTGTACTTTTTATAGCCTACTACCACTACTAATCTGAGGATGTTGCATTACCAAGAAAGGTTATATTTAGTATACTATGTTTAAGAAATGTTGACTATATGTAATATATTTTATAGAGCTTTTCATAAAAATAGTGTCTAAAGAGTTACTTCCTGTGTTAGTCCAGGTTGACTAGAGAAACAAATTCATAGACACTCATGTGTAAAGAAAGAGCTTTATATAAAAGAGTAATTGTATACTGGTATTAGCCCATATATCCAGTATCCGTCTGTAAATTCCTCTTCAGACTCACGTAACACATGTGATGACACCGAGTATAGGAAAATCTTGTGGATCCAGTGGTGGTGGAAGCATCTTAGTGTTGGTGTGGGTCACCATGTGGCTTCTCCTGCTCCAAGGCTGTGGGTGCCATCAGCTTAGTTCTATGTGGCTTGTCAACAGGAATGTCTCATGGGGAGACATGTGTGTCCCGCCTTCAGAGAGCTATTTATCTCCAGAGCCCCTCCAAATGAGGTCATCAAGCTACAACCTGATTGACAGGCTAAACTCCACCCTTCACTGTTAATAGTCAAGTTGGCACCAGATTATCTTACAATTCTACCTTATGTGGCAAGTGTCATTCCATCAAAGAAGTTGGCACTTGCATTATGCTAGCTACTGTTAAAAAATTTAAGTGTATATATATACATATATATATATACGTATACAGTGAACCCTCGTTTATCGCGGTTAATTGGTTCTAGACCCTACCGTGATAAATGAAATTCCGCGAAGTAGGATTCCTTATTTGTAAATCAAATATTTTCGTAGTTAGAGCATAGAGGACATGAAAAAACACCCTTTAGTCACCATTACACTCGTTATTACCCAATTTATTAAACGAAAAAGGGAAAATACAGTAAAACATTTTGGATGTTACAATTATCATTTATTATTTATTATATTATTTATGGCATCTAGTTTACAGTATTACATATTTCACATACAGTATTATTATACATAGTTCTTACAAATACTGTAATCAATAGCCTATGAAATGACTTAAGGGATGTACTCTACAGGTGGGTCGCCGTCTTTTTCCTCTGAAGGAGCGGGTGTAGGCAGTGGGTGCTGTTACGCAAAAACCGCGATAGAGTGAAGCCGCGGAAGTCGAAGCGCGAAGTAGCGAGGGTTCACTGTATATATATTTTAAAATATATATCTATATATATTTTTAAGTGTATACTTACTCTTTATTTCATCCAGCTTACAGATGGGAAAACTGATGTGGTAGGACATGATCATTACTTTATTATAATTGAATTTTATTTACCATGGATTCTTGTTTATATAGTACACAAACTTTTTCCCTTCTGTCAACAGACATCAGGCTTCTACCTGATACATTTTCATCTCTTGACCAAGATGACTTGAGAATAGAAAAGTTGGCACAACGGTTAAGCACTTGGCTGCTAATAGAAAGGTCAGTGGTCCTGACCTATTGGCAGTTCCAAGGGAGGAAAGACCTGGCCATCGGCTCCCAGAAAGGCTACAACCCCGGGAAACGTCCTTCTTATCCAGTTCTTATCCGTCTTCAAGAATCGCCGTACTTCTTCAGAATCCAGTTAACTGCAAAGAGCAACATTTAACCTTAAGCTCTAGTTAAACACATCCTCCCAAGGAAAATAACCATGTCCAAATAATTTTTATCAAACTTTGAAGATACAACTTAGGGTAATAGAGTCAGTTTTAAGTTCTTCTTTTCCATGCCATTGCCCCCATTAAAAGAAGGTGACTGTATGACTTAAATTTTAATTTCTGCCTTCTTGGCATGAGTGTCTACTAAAAAGACCTTGAATGTTATGCTTTTCTTTCATTTTTTTCTTCATTGTCAGCAAGAGTCAGAATGAACCTTTCATTTGAGATTTTGCGCTCCAGCAAATTCTGTTCATCTTTCTATCCACTTATCCAGTATTTTATGAAGGGGTGATGGATGTCAAAAATGCTTCTCAGACCCCAGGATTTAAAAGATAGTACAAACAATCAGTCCCCATTAGAAGTGGAATGTGGGATTGGTGCTATCAAAGAGACTAATACAGTACTTTAGGGGTAGACTAGTTTGTACTGTTACCTTGGCTTATGTTGTTGGTGTTTTGCTGGAGGTTATATACCATTGGTATTGCAAATGCAGGCATCGGCACCATGTTTCAGTAGAGCTTCTAGACTAATACAGACTAGGAAAAGGGATATGGTAATCTATTTACAGAATTACTCGGTGGAAATCTTATGAATAGAAAGGAACACTGTCTGCTGGCAGATAAGCCCCTCATTTTGGAAGACACTTAAAATACAACTAGGGAAGAGCTGCCTTCCTGAAGTACAGTCACTGTCTGCTTCACTGTGGATGCAGTAAAGCTTTCAGGGTTTCCATTTGCTGGTGTGGCAAAACTCAAAATGAGAAGAAACAGCTGCAAACATCTAGTAGTAATTGAAGTGCGGAATGTACAAAGTATGATTCTAGGAAAATTGGAAGTCATCAGATATAAAATAGAGGGTATAAAGATCGATACCCTAGGCAGTAGTGAACTGAAATGGACTGGTACTAGCCATTTTGAGTCAGGCAGGTCATATATGGTCTCCTATGCCACGGATGACAAATTAAATAGGTACGAGGGGGTAACCCCCCCAACTGGAATTTTTTTCAAAGCTATGTGTTTATTTTTTTTTTTTTTTTTTACAAACAATCTATCGCCTTCAAAGTATTCTCCATTACACTTAATACATTTGTCAAATCTGTGACTCCATTCTCAAAAACATTTTCAAACTCATCTGTTTGGATGGCTAACAGCACCTCCCCCCCTTTTTTCCCCACCTCGTCTACATTAAATTGCTGTCCTTTCATGTCCGTCTTTGTTTATGTGTGTGTGGGAGGGAAAGAAGTTGCATGGAGCAAGGTCAGGTGAGTAAAGTGCATGGAGCAAGAGAGGCATGCTGCTTATTTGCCAAAAATTGGCGCACTGAGATGGCTGAATGAGCAGGTGCACTGTGGTGGCAAAACCAGTCCCCGTCTACCACAAATCAGGCCTTTTTTGCCCTACACTGTTACACTATCTTTTCAGAATCTCTAAATCAGTGGTTCTCAACCTTCCTAATGCCATGACCCTTTAATACAGTTCCTTATGTTATGGTGACCCCCCAACCATTAAATTATTTTCGTTGCTACTTCATAACTGTGATTTTGTTACTGTTATGAATTGTAATGTAAACATCTGATATGCAGGATGTATTTTCATTGTTACAAATTGAACATAATTAAACATAATTAAAGCATAGTGATTAATCACAAAACAATATGTAATTATATATTGTGAAATATTTGTGTTTTCCGAATGTCTTAGGTCGCGACCCACATGTTGAGAACCGCTGCTCTAAATAGAAAATTTGATTAACAGTCTGACCTGATGGAACGCACTACGAGTAGACATTTTTGCCTTTTAGGAAGTTGACAGATGTCCAGAATGAGGTTTGTCATCAGTCGGCTTTTCACCTTTTCTTTGAAACGAGAAAATCACTCGTACACTTGATTTTTTCCCCATAGTGTTGCTGTCCTTGTAAGCTGTATTCAACATCATAACAGTTTCTCTGTCACCCCCCAAGCAGGAAACAAAATTTCACAGCTGAACACTGCTCTTTTAACATTCCATACATCAATTGTATCAAGCATATTTGTACATATGTTGCCATCATTATTTTCTAAACATTTACTTTCTATTTGAGCCCTTGGTATCAGCTCCTGTTTTCCCTTCCTCCCATACTCGTGACCCCTTGATAAATTATAATTATTATTTTCATATCTTACACTGACCACTATCTCCCTTCATCCACGTTTCTGGTGTTTGTCCCCCTGGAGGGTGTGTGTTATGTGTTGACCATTGTAATCGGGTCCCCCTTCCTCCCCGCATCTCCCCACCTTCCCCCTGCCCTCCTGATTTGCTGTTTCCATTTTTGTCCCAGAGGGGTTTATCTGACCTGGATTCCATGTGTTGTGAGTTCTTATCTGTACAGTGTAGGTGCTCTGGTCTAGCCAGAACTGAAGGGCAGGACTGGGGTCCTGATAGTGAGGGGGTGAGGAAGCCTTAAAGAACCAGAGAAATATTGTGTGTTTCATTGGTCTTATATTCCACCCTGGTTGACTCATCTCTTCCTTGTGACCCTTCTGTGAGGGGATGTTCTATTGTCTACAGATGAGTTTTGGGTCTCTGTTCTGAAACACACCCCCCCCCCCCCTTCATTCACAACAATGTGTTTTGTTTTCGGTCTTCTATCTCCTTTTACTTTCCTCCTGACCCACCATCACACTTGTCCTTCTGCCTCTTGGTAATTCCTCTCAGCTAGATTGCTGCTACTCCAACACCACTGGGATCTCTAAGTCCTCCTCATTGTTGCCTTCAATTCCTTGGTTGTTCCCTTGTCTATGGCATTATTTGATCACTGCTCTTTTTTCCCTGACTCCTCCTCCCCCCAAATTCCTCCGGAACCATCAGGCCTGTTGATCTCTCCTCAGGCTTGCTTCCCATGCTTGTCTCTCAAATTTCTGATCTAACAACAGGAGCACTGGGTGGGTGATTCTGCCAGGACACCATCTTGACTCTCCTCCGCCTGCTGTCCTATTAAACTAACCATCACAAAAAACAAGCTTTGAGTGAAATGCTTTTACGAAAAAATTCATAGTGACCAGAAAGAACCTTCCCAGCTGACACCATTGGGTACACTAACTGAGAATGAGTTGTTCCATACTCTCCTAGCGGGAAAAATGTGAGCTATGCGAGATCTACTCCCCTTAGCGCATTCTGTTTGTTTGTTTGTTTTCGGGGGCGGGGGGTACCCCCTTTAATGGTATGATTTCCATTGACAAACACAACCTTTCAAGATCTGTCCTGAAGTATCCTTATACCTATAGTAAGGAAGGTCACTTAATACAAATGTTTTTAAAATTTACTCACCAAACTACTCATGCCACAGATGAAAAATCTGAAGATTTTTATCAACTTCTGCTATAGTCCGAAATTAATCAAGCATGCAATCAAATGCATTTATAATTCCTGGTGATTGGAATGTAAAATTGGAAAAGAAGAAGGAGGATATGAAAAATATGACCTTGGTGACAGAAATGGTATTGGAGGTCACATGACAGAATATTGCAAGACCAACTAATGTATTGAAAATAACTTTTCAACAATATAAATAGTGACTGTACACCTGGATAGGAGCTCTGGTGGCATAGTGGTTACGAGTTGGGCTGCTAACCAAAAGGTCAGTGGTTCGAAATCACCAGCCACTTCTTGGGAGAAAGATGGGTCTTTCTAGTCCCATAAAGAGTTACTATTCCCATAAAGAGCTACAGTGTCAGAAAGTCACAGGGCCAGTTCTACCATGTCCTATAGGATCGCTATGAGTTGGCATTGATCTGATGGCAACAGGTTTGTGGGTTGTTGTTTTTTCCCCCCCATACACATGGATCTCACTGGCTGGAATACCAGGAATCAAATCAGCTACATCTACATTTGTGGAAAGGGATGATGGAGAAGTTAGAACAAGGCCAGGGTCCAACTGTAGAACAGACCATTAATTACTCATGCAAGTTCAAGTTGAAACGAGAAATTTAAAACCACAAAAGACAAAATTTGACTTTGAGTGTTTCCCACCTAAATTTAGAGACCACCTCAGGAATAGATTTAGTATATTGTACTCCAGTAACTAAAATCCAGATGAGTGGGATCAGTGACAAGCATTTCTATGAGGAAAACAAAATATCATTCTAAATACACGACATCAGCAAAGCAGATGTCAGAAGAAACTCTGAAAACTTGATCTTGAAGGCAGAGTAACTAAAAAGCAAATGGAAGAAATGAAGTAAACTAGTTGAACAGAAGAGTACAAAGGTGACTCAAAACTATTAAAATGAAATGTGCAAAAACCTAGAATTAAAAAACCAGAAGGAAAGAACACTCAGCATTTCTCAAGCTTCAAAGAACTGAAGAAAAAAAATCATAGCCTTGCATTGCAATATTGAAGGATTCTTTGGGCAAAATAGTGGACAATGCAGGGAGCGTCAAAAGAAGAGGGAATATAGAGTCACTGTACCCAAAAGGCACTGGTTGATGTTAAGTCATTTCAAGAGGTAGTAGCATGATTAAGAATTGAAGGTATTGAAAGAAGTCCTAACTGCACTGCATTAGTGAACAACAAGACTCTAGGAATTGATGGAATACCAAGTGAGATGTTTCAACAAATGAATGCAATACTGGAAGTGTCCACTGATCTATGTAAAAAAATTTGGAAGACAACTATTCTGCCAACTAACCAGAAGAGATCCATGTATGTATTTCAAAGAAAGGTAGTGCCACAAAATGTGGAAATTATTGAATATGATTAATGTGTTAGTCTGGGTTGATTAGAGAAACAGTCATAGCCACTTAAGTG